TTACATAACTTCTTTATTTTAACTAATTTAAAATATAGTTATGTTAAATATTTTGTTATTTAAAATATTTAGTTACTTAACTACTTAAATAATATGTAAAATATTTAAAATTTTAAAATATTAATTATTTATTGAATTTAATAATTCATAAAATTATTATGTATACTATTATTACACAATTTTATTATTAATTTTGCAAGATATTGAATTATTACTAATTTCAATATTATGCTATAATTATTTTTCTACTTTTAAGAAATTTTTTAAATTTATTACATAATTTCGTTATTTTAACTATTTAAAATCAGTTATGTTAAATATTTAGTTATTTAAATATTTAAATAATATGTAAAATATTTAAAATTTTTTGTTATTTACTGAATTTAATAATCCATTAAATTATAATTTATACTATTAATACATAATTTCATTGTTAATTTTGTAAGATATTAAATTATTACTAATTTCAATATTATGTTATAATTATTTTTCTACTTTTATGAAATTTTTTAAATTTATTACATATTTTCGTTATTTTAACTATTTAAAATCTAGTTATGTTAAATATTTATTTAAATATTTAAATAATAAGTAAAATATTTAATTTTTTTGTTATTTGAACTTCATTTACTTAAAGCTATTACATATTACTAAATATTTTGTTATATAGTTACTTATATATTTATAATATTTGTTATATATGATATTTATTTATTGAAATATTTAAATAAGATTTTATTTTTTAATGTTAAGTTTTTATTATTTGAATAACATTTAAATTGATAATCCGGAAAAACAGAATTTAAATTGTTAGTACATAATTTCGTGATATATTTTGTAAAAATATGAAATTATTTTTTTGTGTTTTTAATAAGTATTTTAAAGTTATTATAGAAATTTGTTAGAATATTTAAATAATTCTTAAATTTTTTAATCCAAAATTTCTTTAGATAGATATAGATAAAAAAGTTGGGGAGAGGATAAGAGTCTGGATCTCCTGCCCACAAGAACTCTACCCACGTTTATTGCAGCCACACATGGAGAACATCTCATCCTTTACATAGTATTATGCAGGGGAGGATGTTCCCAATTTACGTGGGCAGAGTTCTCGTGGGTAGGCGTGGGTAGGAGATCCAGAGTCAGAGGATAAATAGGAATTAGAGATAATTTCGGAGAGAAACACTCTAATAAGTTAGAGATAATTATTGAGATAAATAGGAATTAGAGATAATTTTGGAGAAAGTGGGGGATAATGGGGGAGGTAGTTTAGGAGAAATTTTAGGAGAAGAGATTATTTAGGTTATTGGAAAAGTACATCTCATTGGTTGTTGCAAAAATGACATGAAATAAAAAATTCAAAAAAAGGAGAAAATTTCTTGATCACTTTATTTTAATATATATAGATATAGATTAAATATTATAAATAAATTAAACTAAAAATTACCAAAATACTATATATTATTAATAAGATGAGTTAAAAATGACCTTAATATTATATTTTATTAATAAAATAAATTGAAAATTATTTGTATAAAAGTTGAACATATGACAATTTAGCCAAAATACAACACTAACACCAACTTCAATGATAGATATAATATAATTTTTAAGTATATATTAACATATATATTTAAATCAAATTGAATCAGATTATATCAGATCAGATAGGGGTAGATCCATATTTGATCTAATTATAAACGGATCGAATTGGGATTTGGGATCAACTTTAAGGCTGTGTTTGGTTTGAAGGAAAAAATAGGAAAAGGTAGGGAAATCTTTACAAAACTTGTATAGATTTTCCTACCTTTCCCTACTTTTTCCCTCAAACCAAACATGGCCTAATAGTATCGAATTCGAAATCAGATAATCAGATACGTTTGCAGCCCTGCTACTGAGATCCATTTCAAGTTCTTAACAAGCTAGATCCAGCTTGGAAGCCATTTATGATGGATGGATCCACTAATATTAACTGACCGTTTGGGAGGTCCATGGCTTTTGGCCAGGAGGTGGCTCCACCCAGACGGCATACAAGCAATGATAGTTCATTTGAGCTTTGTGGATTTTTCTTATAGACTGTAACTATAAAGCGCAACTAAAAACTCAAACTATGAATGGCAATGGGGTTAGCGGTGGCAATTGGGCGGGTTGGGCTGCATTGAGTTTGGTTTGGGTTGAGTTTCAATCTAATCCATCTAATCTACCTATTCATTAATGACCCAATTATATAAAATTAAATGGATTGGGTTCGACTTAAACCCACCTAAACCCATTAGTCTTATATTTATGAACTTAAAACTAAAAATTAATTCACTTAATAAACAAGTTGGTCATAGCTTGGTGGTAATAGTATTTGTTATTTATACAAGCAGAGAAAGTTCAAATCACGTTACATGCATATTATTTTTACACAATGACCCATTGACTATGTTCAGGTTTTGAGTTTGACCGAACCACTTAGGTTCAAATCGGTCAAACCAACTTGAACAATCCAACTGGATTTGTCTTCAAGCTAATCACATCAAGAGTGGTTGAACTGTTTGGATTAGGATCAGTTCGGTTGGACCAGATTGGACCAGTTCAAACTGTTCAGTCAATAGCGGATTGACTTGGACTGTCCCATATCGGGTCATGCACAGGTCTGGGACCGAACCAACTAGTTAGAAGCAGGGCAGGGGGCATGCCTGTCCAAATTCGGGTCGGGCTGCACATATTCGAGTCGAGTTGGTTCGACCCATAACCTGAAACAGGTGGATCATGCCGCTTCAAAATCGGACTGGATTTGGGCAAAAACAACTTGCCCAAGACTGTTGTGGAACCGGGTTGATTCGACCCAAAGTGGATCCAAAAATGAGTGGTCTGTGTGGCTTCGAGTTGGACTAGATCTGGCCCAAACCGGTTTTGATCACACCTATTTATGGTTCGGGTTGGGTCGCATCAGAACATGCCAAAGTAGGTGGGCCTGGTTGCTTCAGGCCAGACCAAATCGGATATGGGTTGAACCGTTCCATTTTCGGGTCGAACCAGATCGCTCCATACTAAATCAAGTTGGGTTCAGACTAGGCTGTTTGACCCAAACTATTCAAACCGAGGTGATCGGGTTTGTTCATATTCTGACCAAGCTAAAATGATTCAGACTGGTCCGGGCTCAAGTCAGGTTGATTTGGATTTATGTCGATTCAGGTGAAGCGTGTTGATTCGAAGAAAACTAATTTTAGTTATTAATTACGCATTAATTAATGGTTATCCACAACCCTACCCAACCCAACACAACCCATTTAAATTGACCCAATGGGTGATCTACCCATTTCTAACCCACCAAGTAAATGGATGGATTGGGTGGGTTAAATACTAGGTGGGTTGGGTGAAAAATTACCACCCCTAAATGGGGTAGGGCAGGGCTTGGTTTGGCCTACCCCATCCCCGATCCGGAATTCAAATGCCACACCCCATCTCCCGCCCTACCCCAGTCATTCATACTTGTATACTTAAAAATTTATTTTTAATATTTTTAAACCTATCTAAAACTATTATATATTATATAATATATAATATTATAATATAATATAGCATATATTACCAATTTTATAATATATATAGTCGGGGCGGGTCTGGGGCAAGGTGGACAAATACCACCCCCGCCCCATCCCTAATCCCCAGAGCTTCGGGTTTCCCTAACCCACCCCAAACCCCAACCGGGGTGGGGTGAGGTAGGACCCTACACGCACGGGTCAAATTGCCATTTCTAACTCAAACTACTGCCCACTGCATGAAAGCCCTCCCAAACGGGAACCAAATTTGCTGGCCTTCAGCCCATAGTGACAAATAAATACATATATACATAGCCCATAATGACAGATAATATGAAGAAAACCAACTATTCCGACTAACTGATGGTGGCTCGATGAGTTTACTTATAGCGAAAACATATTCCGTAATGGCAAAATCACAAGAAACAACAAAGTAGAAACCAATCAATGTCAAAATTGGAATATACGTTGGGGTGTCAATTGGACTGATTTTAGCAAAAGATGGACCAGGTCCAATCCAATTTGATAAATATTTTAGATCAGTTCAATTCAATGTCTAACCCCTGCTATCTGTTTAAATTAGTTTTAATTCAATTTGATAATTATTTTGGACCAGTTCAATTCAATGTCTGAACCGTCCAATCTGTTCAAATTAGTTTTAATTTAGATCAGTTCCAACCCAAATCTAATCCATTGGCACCTGTATTCTTATCTCCTATCAATCGACCGGAATTGGTTCAACCCAATCCAATCCAATATAAATCCATTATGGATGAACTAGGTCCACTCCAATCCACTAAATATTTTAAACCAGGATTAATCCAATTCAATGTCTTATTAGTTCATCCAATCCATCAAAATGATTTTGATTTAGATGGTATCCAACCAAGGTTCAAAGTATCGATACGTATCGGCCACCGATACATATCGTTCCAAGACCCCTCCATTACGCCCCTACAGTAGGTGTATCGGAGGTCTGATCAGTTCAGGGGGTAGAGGAGACCTAAACCGGCCCCCCTGAACCAGTTGCGAAAAAAAATTAAAAAAAAAAAAACCACCAAAATGTGTATCGATACACCCCTATCGGCGTATCGAGCATATCGATATTTTGAACTTTGCATCCAAACCAAAACCGGTCCATTGACACCCCTACCTACCAATCCTGTTAACGCATTTCCAGAATTTTCAATTTAGAAAAGTTCCCAAGGGAAGTCAAAAGAACACAAGTGTACAGGCTTGATTATTGATCTTAAACTTCCTGGATGAACTTAAATTTATTAATTTCCTCGGTAAAAGATGAGCTCTCTCCCTATGTGAACTGCAATCCCCAGTTTGTACAAATAAAGTCGAAGTGAATATTATATACGAGCAATCCAGTTTGAGCATCTGCTGACAAAGTTTAAGTACTATGTAGAAGATACTCTTTTCGGTGAAAACTGGCTCATCCATCTGAAAGAAAGAGAAAAGGAAATGTCAATGAAGAGCCTTCATGTCATTAATTAGTTTCTGTTGTTCAGACAAATCAATTTGAACATGTTGATTACAACATGAGCCTTCATACTTTCCCCCTGAACTCCCCGCCATTTGAGCAAACAAGAAAAAGAATTTGACACAAAGGAGAACCCCTGCAACATCGTTCATAAGAACTCCAGCTGCTAAAAAAAATTAAGAGAACTCGTAGTTCAAAAAAAAAAACTTTCCAATATAACAGGACATTTTAAATGATGGATCAATAAATGGAACATTTCTACATCACAGAAAACTTTACAGTGTTTTTTTGAATTCCATAACAATTCTAAACCACTGACCTCCTATACAGGAAGGTTAGCACATCTGAGGAGACCTCTGCTATGACCGTTCCAAATGCTTGAATTCATGACAGTCAGCCCCTACCTTTTTAAAGGCCAAGATTAATTCAGGAACTAGCTTGGCCAATACCAGTTTGAAACCAACAGAAGTTGAATTCTGGTCGCTCTTCTCACTTATGGAAGCATCCTTTGTAAGAGAGCCAATTAAGTAGCCTTTCATATATGCATCACATGCTTTAAGAATGTAATAACCACGCCTCCTGAAATGGTCCTTGACAAGCACCTCAAAGTCCTAAAATCCACAATGAACAGAATTTAAGATTCAACCATAAATAATTGTTAAAATTTTTGAAGATTCAATCTAAGAACCAGCAGCATGTATTTGATGAAAATGCTTGCTGAATTCTCTATATTATTCTGTTGCATTTAGGGGGTGTTCTTTTTTTGGATTTTGGGAGGGGGGAAAGTTGGTCAATGGGATTTTGGTTCCCATTGACCAAGAATCCCATGTTCATTTTTCAGATTTATGTGGGGATTAGGGAAAGTTTATTTTCCTGGGTATCACCCATCTCCTAGGTGGGTAAACAACTTTCCCACCTAGGGGGAAAGTTGCTAACATTTAAATGGGACAAAAATGCCCCTTTTAATAATGGATTTTTATGGCTAAAATGGTCATTACCTTATTTACCTAGGAAATAAAAGAACATGGGTAAATGCACTTACCCGGGTAAGTGTTTCCTAGGAAAAACTTACCCAGGTAATTGCATTTACCTGGGTAAGTAACTTACCGAAAAGCGAACGGGGCCTTACAGTAATTAGAATATACATGAAAATAACGAAGTTAGGCATATTTTTTCATTCATTCAGGTCTTGTTCAGATGGATCCTGAGAAAACATAATTCTATTCAAAATTGCCTAACCAGATTGGGTGTGAAAAGGGTTTCCTCTAAATTATCCTGTTGCATTTACAGTGATTACAATATACATGAAAATAACAAAGTTAGGCAATTTTTTCATTCATTCAGGTCTTAGTTCAGATGGATCCTGAAAAAACTTAATTCTTTTCAAAAGAGCTCTCACCCAATAAGAGCTCTTTGACTAGAAGATTTTTCTGATAGGAATTGAGGCTTTATAGTTATGGTTTTTGTACATCTAATTGCATATCCTCCCCCATATATCTTGTTCTTTTTCTTTTGATCAATAACCATATACCTTCTTTATTCTCAATCAATATTTACTTTTTCTCAAAAAAAAAATGTACATGAAAACCAACAATAGAAGATGTAGTTTTCCCATAACTTATGTTTTATATAAAAATGAATAGGTTAGAGAAAGTGAGTGTACATGCATGCACCACGGATCTAGTAGATCAGTTGAAATTGATCCAGATATCACAAAGTGCAGTGCAGTCAAGGCGTCGCCTAGGCGACTAGGCGCCCTTGTATCTTATTAATGTATGTCTTAATACATTTTATTATATGCTATATAATATATATATATATCAATTATACTTTGTTTTAATGTTTTACTATTGAAATTTAAAAGATCAAAGGGTTTTGAGAAGAGAAAAAGAAAGAAAGAAAGAAAGAAAATAAAGAGGAAAGAATAGAATAATAAAGTTCTTTTTTTCTATTCTCTCTCTAATTAAATAAATCAGAAACTCCATCCTTGTTTTTTTTTCTATTTTACTTACCATCTTGAATATTTATCATATAAAATTAATAACCTTCTTTAGCTGCTAATTAATATGAATTTACTCTATTAAATAATGAAATTAATATATGTAAAAGATTTTTATCTTTTAGATGTGATGATTTGCCACATTTTTAGAGGAAATTTAAGTTCTTAATAAAGAGAATTGCTATTTTTTCAATTAACGTACATGCTGAATGGTATATAAAACTAGGAAACTAGCTAAAAGTCAGTTTTTTATATAATAAAATTTTTATCGCCTAGGCGACTAGGCGCCCTAGTGTCACCCAGAATCGCCTAGACGCCTTGAAAACTATGGTACTTCTACAAGGCTTAACACTGATCTAAAAAAATGGTCTTTTTACCAGGATGGATGGACATTGTTGTAGGAGACTACCAAGTGCTGATGACTTGTATCTCCTCTTTTTTTTATAAGAAATGAAATTAACTAATATAAATCAATAATTGGATACAATACAAGCATTCCTTGGAGAGAGGTGTGAGATGCAACCTCTCACATTATAAAAGATAACATGTATCTCTTCAAAATCAGATAATTCCTTGGATACTAAGAATTCTGGCTAGAGAAGCAAAAGAACAGCCAGCCAGCCTGAACTATTTGTTTAGATGGACTCCTAGAACAACCAGATGCTTTAATTAGGGCTAGAAAGATGTGGTCTTGTTTGAGGGGCACCAGGCCCTGCTGCCCTGGAACCTATCTGTAAAAAGGTTACATGTTTATTTATGTTTATATGGTCAGCCTAGAGCTTTTCTACCCATTTCCTCATCTCATAACTGCTAAGATAAAGTAACCATTTACTAGTTAGCCATATACAATCACAGAATCAATAAGCAGTAGCTAGGCATTTACTAACTACCCCTACTATTGTGGCACAAGATCTTATTAACCAGACCATCCAATGCATGGACTGATGTCTTGGCATGACTGTTGGGAAGGGGAATAAGCATAATTGAATATTACCATTGATGATCAAGAACCATGGTACTAGATAGTCTAGGTAATACCATAGATCCACAAAAGGGAAATAATGAGTTCGGATATGCTACTCACATGTACCCACAAGACACTACAGTCTTGGGAACATCTCTCCAATGAATGACAATTGAGATGTTCCCAATGTGCAGCTGTAGTGTATTGTCGGTAGGCTAGTGGTTAGTGTTGTGGGAAGCAGATCTGGACTCGTATACGAGGGAGACCTTAATAACTGGATAAACAAAGTTGAAGGGAGGAGCAAAAGTAAAAACCATGTTAAAAATTTTTTTTCGTATTCAACCATGTCAAAAATTCCCATGTAGTCAATAGATCGCCATGATGTTAATATTTATAGAAAATGCTACTCTGACCCTCAGAGGTATTTCAATCATCTGACCAAAGATTCACCTTATCCAATGTAATGCTCCCATCTCTTTCATTTACTATTAGAGCCTAAAGTTTAGTCACTACTTCAAGAACTTAAAACATTGAGGTGGTTGAGTAACTGATGTAACGTAGAAGTTATCCTACAGATTTATGTGTAGCATATTGTTGTAATTCTGTTAGTATGTAGCCACTAGCGATTTTTTGTCTTTCTTATTCTTATTCTTTTCTTATTCAGTTTTCCTTTTGTTATTCTTCTTCTTCTCTTTCCTGTTCTTCTTGGATCACATGGTAATAGAGCAAATAGTTTTTAAAGCACCAAGGCGAGGCTAGGTGACAGGGGGGCGCCTTGTCGCCTAGTCGCCTAGGCGTTTAAGTAAAACCATATATCCTATGGTAGTTCCTTAGGTTCCATAACCATCTTTCCTTAATATTTTTTTTTTTTTTGATAAATCCATCTTTCCTTAATAATTATCCATAATTTTCATAAGAGAAGTAAAAAATTCATGTTTTAAGTTTAGAAAATCAGCATTTTATGAGAAGAAAAGGAACAAAGGAAAGAAAATTCATAAAATATAGGGGCTGAACCCCTACTTTTGTTATAGGAAAAGAAGAAAAGAAAAGGTGGAAGAAGAAGATCTGTTGATTAGACAAAATTTTAAGTTCTTCCCTTGCTTATTGGTTCAGGTTCTGAAATCTTTGAGGATTCAATCAAGGATCAAAACTTCGATACGATACGCCCCGTATCGGGTGTATTGTATTGTATCTTTGGCACCCCAATATACATGTTTACAGGTGTTTTCAGGAACCCATTTTTTTAAATAATATATATATATATATATATATATATATATTCAAATATGAAATTGAAAACCAAAGAAATAAAGAAATAGGGGGAGTATCGTTATAAGTACCGATACACCTCTGCCGATACACAGAGGTGTATCGATACTTTGAACTATGGGTTCAATAAAGCAGTTAGCAATGTTTGTGTTGATTAAACCCTAACAAATAAGAAAATAATAAAAAAAAAAATAGTACATGAACACATGAAATGATTATTCTAGTTTAATAATGCCTATTTTATAATTATAATGTCAAAAAATAAAAAATATAAAAGTATTTTATAACATAGTGCACAAAACTACTTGGCGAATGGGCGAGGCGAGCCTCCAAGGGCGCCTTGTCGCCTAGGCGTCGCCTTGACAACTATTATAGAGCAGGGATCTGGACTCTAAAACAAGGGAGATCGGTGTGTGCTTCAAATGGACAAGGAGATCAGCTAATGGTTTAGCTGACACATTGGCTAAACAAGGGACTGTGAGAGAGAGAATGTTCTGGGCAGTTTTGTAAGAAAGATTACTGGGGCCTCAACACCTATTTAGGGGTTGACAGCTGTACCATTTCCAATCAAAAAAAATCTGGGCTCTAAAACATTCAGTTCATGATTTCTCAGTTAGAACTTGCCTTTTTTTGACTGGGAAAGGAGAAAACTTCAATCAGAACGATCTAGATAGAAGAGGTACCTGTGGCATTTGTGGTGATAGCCGAATGCAATAAACATCCCTTTTGAGATGTGTACCTTCTGTAAGAGGATAGACTAGTATAATATACTAAAGTATCACCACAGACTAGCCACAATAACAAGACTAGGTTTTAATTATAAAAAAAATAATAGTAATAATAACAAGACTATAGGTTTCACAGTCATCTGACTAGTAATACTCACCTAAGGAAGACCATGGATTCTCTGTACAGAGGCCAACCTTGGATGTCCTTCACCTTTAAGCCTGAACTGTAGATGCCTTTCGTTGGGCACGAGACAAAGCAAATAAAGTAAAACTACAGCCTAGGGAACAAATAACTGCAAAGCTGATCGTACGACAGATATTGTCTCCCCCAAGATGACACGTAGTAGGAGCTTGCGGGTGTGGGAATTAGGGCAGATATGTTCCCTACACTGCAGCCCGACACATGTCCTCGTCATAGCAACCTAGGGACTTGAGCTGCCCTCAACCACCTAAAGAATATTCTAGATTTCTTGATCTTTAGAAAGCTCTAAACTGCCTAGGGAATGTTCTAGAATTCTTGCCCATGCACAAAGTGAGCCCTTCATCTATAAATAGCAGGGTTCATGACGTGAAAAGGGCCTTCCATTCTATCGCTTTACAAGTCATTCCCTAGGCCCTCCACTATTCCATCATTCGTTCTATTCAGACTTG